TGTCGAAAACAGACAGACAGACAGACAATAGGATAAGACTAATAAAACCCAGTTATGCTGTTCACGCATTTATCTCTCGAGTACTTAGGTATCAGTAACACACACTTAGTTAATAAGGGCTGATATTATAATGTCAACTCGTAGTAAAGGTTGCTTGAGATCGGTCCTTGTTAAGTTTTAACAATACAATAGTAGGCAAATGTTGAAGTTGAAAGAATGATCTCAAGTCACAAGAAAATGATTGATACAACCACAGACAAACACACACACACACACAAAATCACGAGATACATTCTGTCGGCTAATTTCAAAGACCACAAAAAAAATACCAAAGTGAAAAGTGCACACACTGTCGAAAAGATGATAAATTGTTCCCCGGTTGAACAAGTTAAAATTAAAAGAAACAGAAGAGAACCAAAATGAAATTAAGATACGCTACTACAAAAAATACACATCAGCTGACTAAAAAATATTTATAGTGTCAGAATAGTAAAGAGTCCAATAAACAGGGATCTTTGAGTTCTAAGTGGAACACATAGAACTCCAAGCTTTGAAGCTTCAATAGCGTTAGTAATGCCTTTCAGGAGTAGGACTGCTAGCATTACGCCTAACCATCGCTCTTTCCCATGCATTCTATAGACTAGTAGACTAAGTGACGTTTACGAGTGCATCGACTGGGAGTTGAACCCCATGACCACGAGCATGCATTCTACCACAGAACACCAGTGACGCAGAATAAGTAGGAAGAGAACACATCTATGACACGCTTTCAATTTCACAGCTTCAAGTAGCATAATCTTAGATGTTACTTGGATGACGATAGGCCTAGAAGTAGAATCCACGACTCACGCGTCTACACCATTTCGAATCTCCACGATAGCACTATCAATGAGCCAAGATGCACTTGAATCTAGTGTGAGGTATCCTAAATATGAGATGAAAGGTGAGTCTTGAATTCTTTACAAGCCTCTATCAACCAAGTAACATCATATTCATCTCGAGGCGTTTAAAATGACACTGGATACTTCGACAAGAAAAATCCAAAGGCTGGATAAAAATGTACTGAGAAGAGAAAGATTTCCTCATAACTATGCTCATTATCGACCTAGGTACCATTTTCGATGCCATATATCGAACAGACGTGAAAAGCCCAACACAGTTAAAACCAAGCACATAAAGACTGATAAAATTATCATAGAATTCACAGCTGACTGAAGTAGGCAGTCAGAAACCAAGCTCTTGGACTTAAGTCAATCTCAATATATTACCGCTGATGAAGTAAGGCATTAAACTGACTGGACTGTTGTGGGTTACGATCACCACTGATATGCTTTCATTGAAATCGGCCTGCTTGCCTAGGAAAAGCCACTTTTTATCATCGTATCAACGATCATGGAATAACAGTCGAAAGACTTAACATGCGTTCGTTCGCTTCTATTCATGTGGATAACTACTCATTCAACTGTGACAATATAAAAATCGTTGACATGGTAAAAGCAGGAAGAATACCATAGAGAACTACAAGATTAAAGCACTGAAATCAACTCGAATACATGACTAAAAATGTCAAGTATCATGTCAAAGTGCGGATCAACATCAATACAAGTAAATACGATCTCATAAGGAACCCCACGGGAACAACCAGTAACAGGGAAGACAAATACTTCATCTGTTGGTTATGCGGGGATTAGATCGACAAGGAGTGTCCTGGATAGCTGTTTCGTTCTAGTTTAGGACTCTTCAACAGTTAGCACCTATTACCCCACGAAGGACTGAACCTCGAGCCTCAAGGTTACAAGCTGAACTCATTTACCATTTAGCTGCTGGAAAGGAAAGCAATGACCATTTCGTAAAATGTCATTGGCGGACATTTGTTCACATACCCGACTTGATAAACCCTGCTGGTTACGACTTCCCACTAGAACCTCAGGCAAATTCATCCTGGATTCCATTCCAGTGGTTCAATGGTATATGAGTTCGCTTTGTAAACTAAAGGTCTTGGGGTGGGGTTATGGGTGTGTTCTGCTGAAGAGTCTCAAACTAGGAGGAAACAACCGTCTAGTTCTTCCTGGTCCCTGAAGTACTTTATCTATGGAGAATTCGTAGATATTCCATTCACACTGAAGCTAGAGGTGAAGATGTTATCCACAAGGACGACGAAACCTTCGCAATTATAAGCTAACCAGAACAGGGTATACAAAGGAAACATCAAAAGCTAATGGTATATTGCAATAGTCCTATTATATTAGTCAAATATTTTCTTCAAATATGACTGTGTATAAATTGTAGTTGGAAAAACCATTATTTCATGTGAGAATATGTTTTCACAAAAAATTTTGTTCACATTTCAATGAAATTACATTTTGAATTGGAAAAACAAAACGAAACAACTTTTCAATAAAACTATTTTCTAATTATAATCTACTCATTTTAAGATATTTTTTAAGTCGCATAAACTGAGAACAATTCATTTGAGATATGATTTTCTGATATCAATTTTAAGTCCATATCTGTTTGTTAATGTAAGCGTGTTACACATATTTTTTGTAGTCCAGTGTAAGCACTGGGATTCAAACACGTACGTATTGATTTACATTTAAAAAAATTCTGCTAGATCGATTAAACTACACTTATGTGATGGTGAACATTGAGAAAACAGAGGGGATGATTTCTGGGCAACACCACCAACAGCAACAACAACAACAACAGACAACAATCAGCATGAATGGAAGGAACCTGAAAGAAACAACCTCCTTTACCTACCCACTCAGGAAGCATCGTTTCAACTACAGGCGGACGGAACTGACGAGGATATCAAAGCAAGAATCGGAAAAGCAAGACAACCTTTCACTACTCTCAAGTCTGTATGGAGGTCAACAGCACTCAGCATCAAAACGAAGATAAGATCCGGATTTTCAACTCCAATGTGAAGTCAGTGATTTTTACTATACGGATCATAGACTTGCACTGCGCGTCATAAAGAGCATCTCAAACAAACTACAGACCTTCATTAACAGTTGTCTTCGCTCAATACTCAAGATCAGATGACTGGCCAGAAAAGATCAGCAACAGAGATCTCTGGCAATGAGCGAACCAACAGAGCAGGAACCGATTGTGAAACAAATAGGCAGGAAGAAATGGAGATGGATTGGCCATGGAGCCAGGTGAAGGCTCAAGCAGACAACCGAACGCAATGGAGACGCACGGCTGAAGCCCTATGTTCCTCTAGGAATTAAAGGAAACAATAATAATATAATAATGATATGTGATGGTGTGCGATTATTAAAACTGCGACTACTACTCAAAGAGACTGGAATACTGTAATCATCTCTATTGTAAATATCATAGGATTATTCATTCACATCAACGGGACACAACAGAATTTCAATACTAAAACATCTTGTTTACTGCTGAACACCTTGAACAGAAATTTTAGTATATTTAGCATGTAATACACTGCTAATGATGTAGATTTTAAGCGCTCCGACTCCTAGACGTAGACGTAGATGTAGGGAATGAAATAGTTGAACGTGTTGACTATTTCACTTATTTTGGATTTGAAAGCTGTATCGCCTCAAAACATCACTGCTTGGGTAGAAAAAAAGAGCTTAATCTTACACATTTGACAACTTGAAGCATTTCTGACTTAAACGTGACATCTGCTGCATTCACTGCGCATGAACTCTCTCCATCCTTCTACAAGGCTGTCATATACATAAGCGTTAAAAGCGTAAGACTTGAAGAGGCTACCAGTCTTTAAACATAGGTGTTTGTAATCTCTCCCTCTCTCACTCACTCGTATAATATGCTCAGTATTACTGAGTTTAGGCAAAGTGTTTTTAAGGCTGGGAAAAATTACGGAATGTCAAATCAAAACCACAAAGTCTTTGATTGTTGATTTGAGCCAATGAGGGTCAGTCACCTGCACTGTGACACAAAGTCCAATGTTAAAAATTCAGTTCATTTCACTGCAGTTTATCTTTCATTTAATGATAATTGCCACCTAACATGATGGTTACATTGTAAAACTTAACTGATAGGATTCAGAGTCTGCACGAAACAAAGGGCTAGACGCATGGCACTAGTTAACACATAGTATCCACTATAGTCGTTGAAGAGAGCATACACGTCTTTTAGACTGACTGGTGAGTGCCAAGAAGTACGAAATCCAATCATCTGTTATCATTTAATTCAATTAAGACTTTCCCCGTCGATTGATTGGACCGAAGTGCTCGGTCTCAAGTTGACATATTGGCTCCTTGTGCAGATGCTTCGATGATGTCTGATCATCTAACTTGAAGTCAATTGGCTGATGGTTAGACTAAGCACTTCGGTCCAAACAATCGACGGGAAAATCTAAAATTGAATTAAATAATTAATATGACCCGTTGCACAAGAGGTGGCTCTTGTGGTCCAAGCAGTCTAGTGCATAACGCTTTGGCGTTTGAAACTATGGGCAATGGTTTCGACCACCAGTGGGAACACCGTCACTACTCACTAGGGGGAATGCAGGTACGTACATCCAGTGGACGAGTCCTAAGTGGGACGAAGTGCGTATCCTGGATTCCACTGCTAGTCACCATCAACCAATTGACATAAATTTTCATATTTTGTTTAAATGATATTAGATGGTTGGAGGAAATCGGCAGGAAGCCTTGGACCTAGGTTTCATGCTAGTTGGCACTCTTCAGCAAGGCGTATATGCAACCTTGAAGGAACTCATGTCCCTTCTGAGATTCGAACCCTTCCTTCCTATCGTACTGACTAGTCAATGAGGGTTAAATGGACTTATTAGCTGAATGTCAACAGTAAAAAGGTAAATTCTGGAAATAATCCTGTGTAAAGTAGTTGATAGTGAGTAAGTTGTCTAGAAAAACACATCAGAAGAAGAAGAAAAGAGAACAATGAGCGATAAATGACAAAAACATGTCATTTTTCTCAAGTATATATTCACCTGATGATAATGATGATGATAAAAGAAGGAATGAATTGTCACTTACCACTTCCAAAGACTGTGATAATAATTGAGCAACATCCAACATTGTGAACAATACACGTCCACTCCACATAACATGAGGGAAACTATGAAAGGAAAAGAAAAATATGAAAAATGAAACTGCCTAAGGTCGTGGTATTCATAGTCATTATCCAAAGGTGTTAGGGAGAGAGAGAGAGAAGTGTATATCATCTGGTTAAGAAATCTTAGAATGCTAAAAGAAACCAAGTAATTGGCCAGCCGGTGGGTGCGCACTGCTGATGAGTCCCAAACTAAGACGAAACAGCTTTCCAGTACACCTAGGATTAAAATGGTACCTTAACTGAAATCAATGCATGATCAACCTTTAAACCAATGATAACCGTACGAACAAAACCTTGAATATTAATGAGATAACTGAAAACTGCTTATAATGACACGAATGTACTGATAATTCTTATTATCCTCACTACCTTACAATGAACAATTTTATTTCTCATGCATATACTTCAGTTATGTGGTAACTGATCTTAATCATCCTGAATAAGAACGAACAAGAAGAACACAGGTTGTTGATGAGTAATGGTGTGGTGAGTGCAACTGACAAGCATTTATAAATATCAGGTATTGATTTGCAGGGATTTGATTGGTTACTGGTTTGATAGTGAGCTGACATCAATTAGAGAACCACTGAAAACCAGGGAGTACTGGACAGCTGTTTCCTCCTAGTGTGACACCTTTCAGGAGTACGCACTCATTAGGGCTCGAACCCAGAACCTTCCGTTTACAAGACGAGCTCGTAGACAATTTAGCCACTGGGACCCGACCCAGAGGCCAGGCCATGAATTCCGACTTCTGCCAATTCGCGATGTATAGCACAAACGTCATCCAGTGTCCTAAGCGAGTAACTGAATCGCTTACCTGACTTCATGTGCCCAGCTGCTTACGACTTCTCATGAAAGTTTTAGGCAACTTTCTATACAGAGACAGTCGCTAATGAGCATCAGATTAATTATCAGTTATCGGTTTGCTGTGTGTGTGTGTGTGTGATGAATTCCACACGAGTTCTGAACGAAGGAGTGACGGATAAAGTTGAGAAGACTAGTAATGAAGATTATTGTAAACCAGTATAGAAAGGAAGATTAAAGAAGCGGAATAAGATGAACTTGTGAGCACGGAAATTTAGACGTAACTTTTCTGAATTTTGACATCAGTGTATATCATGCGCCAAATAAGCAATTGCGCTACCAAATATCTCCATGTGCTGTCGATACATTTAGTTTTACTGCCTTCGACCAATATGAAGATCTTATGGCCTACAGATCTCGAAAAAAAACAATGACATTCAAAGCTTCCTGATGAGTGAGTAGGGGAAGCTGGTGGTGGTGGAACACGGGACACTGCTGAGGTCGTGCAAAAACTGTCTACGACAGTTTGTGTGGAGCTGCCACAAAGACGTAGGAGGGGGGGAGAAGACCATCTACTGGCTGAATTCAGAGTTTGACAGGTCAGCATAAATTCAGTAGGCAAATACCGTTTGATGCAAATGCGCATCGACTGGTTTCGGCAAAACACTGACAAATCTTCTTCAATGTGCGTCACCTACCTATGACGAAGATTCATTCACAGAAGCAGCTGCTAGCTTCTTAGTTTATGGAATATGTTCCTACTGCATTTTCCAACACCAGGTGTAGTTAATTATAATGCAGCCCCGTGGACATGAAACGCTGCATACAATATACTACTTAAAAATTCTTATTAGTAGTACACCACAGCACAGTGGAACTATATGAGAAAGTACTCGGTGATGATGATTACAAAGGAATAAATAATAAACCAATAGAAAAGTATACTTACTCTTTGGCTAACATACTAAGAAATTCATCAGCTACAATACGTAGACTTTTATGTATACGCGTGAATGTGACCAGGAGAAATTGAGCATGCATATCCATGATTGATTCACGTTCGGTGTCTAATGGCTAATAGTGAGAAAAAAGAAAGTGAAAGAAGGTAGAGAGATACATTAATTAAATGCAATAAACAATACTTTTCAAAATTAAACAAACTTGAGGATACATAAAAGAACAATACATACACCAGTAATTGAGTCCTACAGAATACAGTTCATACATCAGAGGTGCAAAATGTAATCCTAGTTAACTGCGATACGGAGACTTTGCTTCAGCTGTTCCACTGAAGTAACACTTTAGACTATCTTTTTTCACCCGATCGATTTCCTTTCTCTTCCTTTGAATAGTGTTCGCTGCCGTTTACAGATCGTCCATGTTCCTCCTATGCCTAAATGTCTTGATGTTACTCACTTCGAAAGAGTCTCATCAGACTTTGATTATAATTTCGAAAGAACCTCCGACGCATGTATCAGTCAATTTGATGACCCGCTAGAGCAAAGTACATTGGCTGTACCATTCGTTGGCCTGTTATAAGCGGTCGTGAACACTAGCTAGTCTAAGGAGGATGGAGGTGACTTTAGTTCGGTAACATAACATCTTGTAAATATAGGGCACTCAGTACCAATTCAGAAATCTTCCGAAATACTACACCAACTCCGATCAAGCCTCTCCAAAGAATCAATGAGATTAATACACCTCCTCATAGCGAAAGAACTGGCAACGCAGAAGATCCCGTTCAAATGCTATTCTCAGAATATCCTTTAAAAGGCTTTTCACCAGTTTACCGAAATACAACATTAAAAAAATAATAGATTTGATTTAGAGAGATAGAAGTGATTACAGTATGGTTAGAAGCCAGGTGATGGAAACTCCAGTGCAGATCTACTTTATTCAAATTCGCACTACTTACCGTCTAATTGTGTGATTCCTTATAGTGTAAATCCTTAAATCTTAAACAATGGCTTCTGTTTTTCAACCATACGTCTCCCCTTTCGTTCACGCCAACTTCTAGAATAATACTGACTCCAGGTACCACATAAAATTCCTGTGGTGAATAGTTGAGATTAGTATGAGATTTGTAATAACAATAATTATTCACACTAGACAGGACAAAACTGTTTCCGATGAGTATTATTTAAAAAACGGACACACTATTTTCGAGTTTCAACCAAATGTCTCTTAATCATATCAATATATTAACGAAAACAAAAACAACCAAACCAATCGGGTAAACACCAAAATAACCAACCTTACCTTAGCTTTCATTTGAGCAAGATAACGTGTAAATATACGAACAGCTACTTGAGAAATACACGTCCACATACCTAGTAGCATGAAATATAAAAACAGAGAAAGAATCATGAGTAAAAACAGACTGGAAACAGACGTGAGAGAAATGAAACGTTGTCATTTTTCACATCTTTATGATAACATACCAGCATTCATGACACAAAAATAACTTTGGTGTTTGAGAAACTATTGATTATGCTAACAAGTCAATCCAAACGTGGTTGGTTTAGTTAGGGTGCTAATGAGCGACTGTTAAAAACTCTGTAATATGGTTCACAGTGGTTTACATATACTGACTTAGATATATTTCTCTCCTTGTCATTTCTCAAGTTGACCACGCTTCACTTATCTAAGAAGTTGCATCAGCCCCAACGGGCCGATCACTGACGAAATCTCAAAATGAATACGAAAGGTTCGTGTAGTATTGGCCAACCTGCATTTTCTCTGGCGTAGGCATGACATCCGGCAGGCTTTCTATCAAAGGACACGTGTACTGCTCAGTAGTTCCCTCTGTCGCCTTTTATGGTTATGAGTGAAACATAACCAGTGGAAGTAGAAGACATGAAAGGCCGAGCTAGCTCTCTTTGATCGTAGGTGTCTGCGTTTTATCTTCCCTGTTAGATGGGGGTGTAGTAATAGGGTGAGTAATATTGAGGTTAAACTTCGGTCGACTGCTGGGGAATGCTGGGAGGGTAAATCGATCGATGAGGTTGTGAAGCAGCTGCATCGATTGAGATGGCTAGGACATGTGTTATGTATGCCTAACCATCACCTTCCTCGACGAACAATGTTGGTTGAGTGACATAGGATCAGGTTGGAAAACCCCTAATGGTGATGGTAAAACCCAAACATGGCTTCATCAATCAGTGAAATTTATAACACTTAGACTAAACTACGCCGGGAGGCGTAGACTTCCTGGCTGGGATCCTCGGAATGATAAGAACTAGTGGCTGGAGACAATATGTGGTATGGCTCAAGATTGTTGTCAATGGCCTGTATGCCCTTACTCTTCGTGATTCGGCATATCCAACAAGACTCTATTGTTTTTTCCATGTTACTATTTTTTCCCCATCACATTTCTGCTAATTATTGCTCTTTCGAATATTTTTTTCCTCTTTTCTCTTCTTTTGTGTGCAAAATGGAATGTCACAACTCGACGTAGTGCAGTTCTGTGCAAAGTTCTACATTGAAACCAATTAGTCAATCAGTCAGTCAGTCATTTCTCATATCCTGAAGACTTTCACCTAAGTATTGTTTCTTCCATGAATAATCATAAAATGTGATGATGTTACACTTTCTTCTGTACATCGAATGTTCATGAATTTGGACTGATACAGTTCTATGCATAGAGTAGAACCTTGTCTTCATACACTACCTTGTACGACCTCGGGTGAGTGAACTTCGGTCTTCCTTCGGAAAGCTCCGAGATAGCTACACACTCATTCACTCACTTTCTTCACGCAGCGGAGATTTTCCTTACCAAAGTGAAACGATGAATGCAAACGTCTGGAGGTTACAACCAGACTGGCGCACGTGTAGGTCTACACGTAGGACGCCTCGAAAACCCTGATTCCAAACCTGTTGTGTACATAAGCTGCATAATCCGAAAAGATCGAATAATGGTGTATCGACCTGTTTTGGTCACTGTCAACTATGGTGATGTAGTTCCACTGCCTCATGGATCAGAATTCAATTCAAAAGCTCGAGAGGTGGGATCGAGTCTCAATGAGAATACTGTCATTCACTGCGGATTACAGGTCCCACAGAAGGGACGAAATGGGTATCCTGGATTCAACTGTTAAGCACCATCCACCAAATAACAATAAGGTTAAAACTTAAACTGACAAAAGCTTCTAATGTGAGATGAAAGTTGAAACTAAAACCAGAGTAAAATTAGAACTTTGCCAACCAGAACAAATTTATCGTGCACACGACTATGTGTCATCAATTTTTCCATGACAGTTCATGATTCGACTATCCAGTTATCCAAAGCTTAAGTAGATGGAGCTGATTTTGATCCTGGGACCTACTGATTAAAAGTCAGGTGGTTAAGTCAATCAGTCATACTCCAAAAATCAATTTTTTTTCTTTATGACTTTGATCCCTAAATACCAAACAGCGTTATTACGCATAGATATCATCAGAAAAATCAACTAATTCCTCAGTGAAACTTCAGAAAATCGATTTCAAAATAAGTGAGACAATTTGTAATCCAGTAGATGACAAACACTTTGCCGTTTGAAAGGAGGCCTAGTGGGCTCGAAACTTCACTGGAGATACCACTATTCATTAAGGTATAATAATAATAATAATAATAATAATAATAATAATAATAATTTGCTTTATTCCAAAAACAGTATTAATGATACAGCAAGGAATTTTCAGCATTCAGTACAATATTGCATCTAATTTACTCAAAAACGACAACAAAAAAAATTAATAAACGAAATAATTAATACATATGCAGGTACATCCACATGACGAAGCCCGACGAAAGGGAGAAATGCGTAAACTGGATTTCACTTCCAGGCGCCTTCAATCAAGTCACGCTAGTCATAAGTTGAAACTGAATTCAACAGTTAATGAGCAAGTAATTGTTTAATTTCAAAATCAGACAGCTAGCAGTTACAAATCATAAATTATTGCACTTTATTCCGCACTGAGGTCTTCAATTTGAACCCAAAGCAGGTGGAAGGCCAAGACATCAGTTGGAAAGTTATAAAATCTAATAGCGAATGGATATACATATACATATATAATAGTTTTAAAAAAACAGTATGGCATAAAACCAAAGTTATCCAGGCCATTCCCACAACCAAAGCAAAACAAAGTGATTGATCATTTGATCACTCCTACAAAGACTAACACAGTTTATAAAAGCTTTTGTAAGAGCATATTTAAAAGTATTACTAACAGTGATCTAAGCATGCAGATATATATATATAAATATATATATATATATATATATATATATATATATATATATAGTTAGATAGGAGAAATTTTTTTTAACCAGTTTCTACATTTAACCAAGTAAGAATTCAATCAATTGAGGCACAAATACATGTGATGATTATTGTGATAAGAGGAATTTCAGAAAGTAAGAAGTTACCACAAAAAAAATCACAATCTATTTTCTATTATATAGTCAGGCATACCACACAGGAACAATATAAGGGTTATTTTAAGTAGGTTGGAGAACACAATTGTTAGATGTGTTATTATTATTATTGTTCCCTTGGGTTGCGAGTGGAAAATAGACATTCAACAGCACGTCTCCATATTTTATCCTCTCCATCTGGCTTTACTGTCGCCCATAAGCTTCCACATATCCTGCTCACATGATCTCCTCAATGTGACCATCGGACTTGCGATCACATCTTCATTTCCCACTCCGGAGCCTGGCGTGCGATGCCATTCAAAGGTCTCTGCAACGTGCTGATCCAACTCCATTTGCTTCGGCATAATTATTGACCAGCGGGATCTTGATTGGTTCTTTCCCAGAGCTCCTTGTTGCCTAACCTTTCTGGCTACCATCTGATCTTTATTATGGAGTAAGAGAAGACAGAAGCTGTTGATAAAAGTCTAGAGTAACCTGTTGCAAATGCTTTTCCGTAACAAGTAGGCCAAGTTTTTGACCCACATAGAAGCGCTAACTGACTTGAAACTGGTGTTAACAATCATAATTTTGTTCCTTATGCTGAGTGCGGCAGACTTTCAAACCGATTTCAGAGTGATGAAGGTGTGTCTTGCCTTTCCGATCTTGGTCACCTTTGACACTCCCATCCATGCTGTCGATTGTATTTGAAACGATGTTTGCTAGGTAAGTGAAGGAAGTGACCTCACTGAAATTTCTCCAGTTAACAGCGATTGGTGCTCGTTGATGGTTAGTTGGCTATTTTTATCTCGATCGGTCGGTTTTCGACATAGAACTTTGTACATATGTGCGCCAGTTCAAGTCGCCACAATCCATGTAGCACGCAAAGCAAGAGAAGAAAGTAGAAGAAATGCATATTAGAGACAGTAAACAGAGGTGTGAGACAAAGGAATAGTAATGATGAAGAACAAAAGTTTCATTGGAAATCATAAGTCACAAGGAGTGGATGCATCTGCACTAGCCATTGAGAACGATTTACCGTCTCGAGGACCCCAACCAGGAAGTATACATCTTCCTACGTGGCTTAGACTAACTGTTGTAGATTTCATTGACTGGTGACATGCTTTCGTTTGACCGCCGCTAGCTCTTTTCCAGCCTGATCCTATATCAGCTAACATTGCCCATTGTCGAGGAAGGCGATGACTAGACATACGTAACACATGTCCTAACCATCTCAGTCGAAGTAATTTCACCGTTTCGTCGATTGATTTCCCCGCCTTACCTAGCACTCGACGCCTAATCTCAATTTTGCTCACCTTATTATATCACTTCACGCGGGAGATAGAACGCAGACACCTATGATCAAAGACAGCTAATCTTTTCATGTCTTCCACTCTCAATGGCCATGTCTCACTCACAGCCATTAAGGAGAACAGAGCGGACTGTTGAGCAGTACACACGCCCTTTGGTCGATAGTCGGATATCGCGTCTACGCCAGAGACGGCAAAAACTGGTATATGCGAAACTAGCCCTCTGTATTCGTGCTGAAATTTCGTCCGAGATCAACCCGTTGGGGCTGATGGTACTTCCCAAGTAATTGAAGCGGTCATCTCCTCCATCAACTCTATGTTTCCCTGAAGTTCCGTCTTTGCTGCCGAACCCTTCTGCCAGTTTTTTGGTTTTCGCCTGTAAGTCTTCGAGTATGTGTGACATTAGAAACATATCATCTGCGAAATTCAGATCTTCTAGTCTTATTATCGGGGATCCCAAGTATTCCTGTCTTCTCGCTTGCCACGCAAAAGTCTCCTGAATAACCCAGTTCACCACAATTAGGAATGTTATGTCTGATATGTCTGGCAGTCTTTTCTTACTCTTGTCTTAATTTCAGCGGCCTCGTTGAGTTTTCCTTTGTGGGTTGCCTGACAACTGGTATTGTCATATAGCAGTTGAATGAGGTTGATAAAGACTTCGTGGAGTCAATAATGTTGAAGTAGTTTCCACATTACTTCGCACTAAACACAGTCAAAGACATTTCCAAAGTGGATGAACTTAAGGTACAGGTTTGACTACCATTCTGTGCTCTCTTCGATGATGATCATGCACGGCGTTGGAATTTGATCAGCAGATGGCTTACTTTACCTGAATCCGGCTTGCTGAGGGATTCAGAAAAACAAAATCATGTGCCAATGTGATTACACTAAAATACAATCACAGTCTTCACTGATGTATCAAGCGGTCTGTTGGAGGGAGTCAACAGGAAGAAGCCCTACGCACCTATGTTTTGTGCTTACTAACACTAGCCAACAAGGCGTATCAATAAAACTGAAGGAAGGGATGGTGTTTCATCAGAGATTCGAACCAATGTCAACGAGTTCTCCTTCCATATATGCTGCTGCTGAGCTAATCGGTAGAACAGCCAACGAAACACTCATTGGTCAGTAAAGAGTAACCAATTTTATTGGCCTAATCCTTGGTCCTAAAGTTGACTGGAATCTATAAGTGAAGACTGCAGTCTACACTTGCTGGAACCTGACGGTAGTGTGTTTTCTACTAACTGTCCCAGTTCGTGACTCTTCAACAGTACGCATCCACCGGGATTCGAACTCGGGATCTTCAGATTATGAGATCAAGCTCGTTGACTATTCAGTCACTTGAGTCGGTGGAATTCAATGACACCTGAATTCCAATTTTGTCAACCTGTGATACAGCACTACCCACATCACTGCCTCTCCAATGAGCATCCTTGACACGACTTCTAGTCATGTACTCCGTGGTTTTCAATGATCCCTCTAATTGATTTTCATTCATGACGAAATCTAACAATTGAAACAAGTGAAGTGGTTGAAGACTACTCCCATTATAGAATAGCTTAAAATCTTCTGCTACAACGACGAAGCTTAAAAATCTGTATATTACATAATCATTATTGACACCTAAATAAAAGGTCGCGTCGTCCTTTTGTGTGTGTTGGAACATTGTTAGTCAGTTCGAACACACAGAGCTTTTACTACCTATTCAACTTGTAACTTATGATGTTAATTACCTATAATTTCCAGTTATGTAACCATTTCATAGACGAATGAATTTTGCCTTCGAACTCAATCCTTCTTGTGATCATAACAATATGAAAAAGTACTAAGTAGTCAGTTTATAACCACCCATTAGTAAGAAATTCCGAAACAAATAGTGCCATCTGGCTTCTTTGCAGTCACTCATTCCAATCGCTGAAACCTTCCAAAACTTTCATTAAATTCATGTGGGTGGGGTGGTGATTAGCAGTAAAAATCAAGAACGCGCATTTCGTCCTATATGAAACTCATGAGTCGGATGTAAGTCCTAAACCAATGAGTTGTGAAATTTCTACTCAACCAAGGATCCAACACCGGTCGTTTCAAACGCCAAATCCTTATCCGCTAGGACACTGTGTCACGGGAGCCACATATGTTGTGGCGACGAGAATCAATCTGCATTGAGTTCTAGTTCGACATTAATTGTCCAGTGGTAAATATATAGCAGATTTTACCTGGTGCATAGCAGCTAGCAAAAAAAAATCTAGGATTCGCATTCCGTCCAGCTTGGGACTCGTCAACTCGATGTATCTGCACAATTCTCAGTGATTGATGGTGTTTCCAATAGGACTCGAACCCAGGGGGCATCGTTTCGAATGCGAAAGCGTTAGTCTCTAAACCACTTAGGCCACGAGAGAGGAACATTTCGGTTCACTCAATCAGAAGGATGGGTGATTTATGATAGAATTTGGCTGTTTAGTATGTGAAGAGGACCCAATCAGTTTGAATGCAACACTGATATATCATAGGATGTTTATGATAAACTGTCGAGCAGATGGTACTTAACTTCAAAACTCACAGAACATTATCCACGATATATATGATCAAGAAAAGAAACTCACCAAACTTATCCTTTATAATGATATTGTCCTCTAAATACATGAACAATCGATGTAGTGCTTCAGGATCAGTGGAATGTGCAATACTGTATGAGAGTAAAACAAAAAAAAATGTAAAAGTCCAAGTGTAAAAATAAAGTATAACAGTAAGGCAAGCCAACATATTACACTCCGTAAACGCTTATTCAATGGGAGAATAATCGCCACTAATCCAGGAGGCAAGGTGTTTGATTTCCAGTCGACGCACTGCTTATGAACGATGCCAAGTTTACTAGCTCAGCCCAGGAAAGGGGGTATGAAGCTACCAACACCCCCCACCCGGTAGAAAAAAGCACCACCCTCATCGAAACTTGGCACCATAAGTTCAAATCAGAACTCATTGGAATGACGAAAAAAACACTATCAACATGACAGCAACAATACGCATAAGCTTGTTAGTTAGACAGTCATGTAGGATTAAATTAAGTGTATTAAGATGCGCTGGATGCAGAACTCCGACTCCCACAACAAGCTGAATTCAGGAAAGGCAAATCATGTGCTGATCAAATTCGCAACTCTACGCAACATCATCGAACAGAGCATAGAATGGCAGTCAAACCTCTACCACAACTTCGTCGACTTCGAAAAGGCCTTCAACAGCACTTGATCATTGTGGCGTGACTCAAAACGTTATCAAACTCATTCAATAGTTGGTTATATGACATTGTCACATGTCAGGTGATCCACAACGGAAAACTCAGCGAGCCGTTCGAAGTGAATACAGGAGTAAGACAGGGCTGTCTGTCTATTATCACAGGTGATATTTCTAATTGTGGTGGGCTGGACTTTGTGGGGAGTCAGAAGACAGGATTAAGTTGGACTAATAAGAAGCCTCTAGGAAATGTGGATTTTGTCAATTATCTATATCACATAAATTCGAAGATTTTCAGGCGAAAACCAACAAACTGGCAGAGGAGGTCGGCAGCAAAGGGAGAACATTACGGAGAACATATAGAAGTTGGAGGTAGTGAAAATAATCAAACAACCATCACCGAGCACCAATCGCTGTCGACTGGAGAAATTTGAATGAGGTCAGGTCATTCACTCATCTAGTCAACATCGTACCAACTACAGAAAACACCATCAATGATGATATCAAAGCCAGCTAGGATTGGGGGAGGGGATGGTAAGGTAGGCGTTCATCAATCTCAAATCAGTTTGGAAATCTTCTGCACTCACTCAGCATAAATAACAAAATTAGGATTGTTAAGTCAGTCAGCACTCCTATATGGGTCAGAAACCTAACCCCATGTATCACAGAAAGTATTTCCAACAGACTTCTACAGACTCTGATCAACAGCTTCCTTCCCTGGCTCGATACTGAAGATTAGATGACTAGAAAGAATTAGCGAAAAGAAACTGTGGCAACAAACAAACCAAGAACCTATTTGCTCAGCAGATATGCATTGGGAAATGGAGATGGATAGGACACACACGGAGGGGACCGTTAGATGATCTTGCGCGCCAGGTCAGCCCTTCGAGTGGAACTCGAATGGGAAACGAAGAGGTGGGTGTGAATCCGAAGGTGATATGTTAGAGACCATCCGAAGAGGAGATAATGGATTATGATGAGCAATCGTGGGGTCAGCTTAAGAGGACCTCAGAAAATAGGATTATTGGAAATGTACTATTGAAACCCTATGTTCTACTTGGAGCCCAAAGGAACGATAATAACAATGAAAATATTCGTCTTCATAATTGAAATATGCAACGACTGAAAAATCCCAATCACATATGAATTCATTTATGGACACATATATAGAGGTTGTCTGACTGACATCTACATGCTATCGTACGGAAGTGTAAGCCCATTTTTCGCTTATCTTTTCACCTTACACTCACGTTTCACTTGCGGTTGAGTCTCAGTGTGTGCGTGTGGCGATAATTCAGTAATTTAAAGCTCTGTACTAATGATGTCTATCACAGAATACGTATCTCCAAAGTACCATACTTAACATTCTATATACCTTCATATAAGGTTGTAGTTGATAAGCAGAATGAAGGCAGAAATGACTGTTATGAGATGATGTCACTGTAAAAAGAACCACACTTATCATGTAAGGGGTTGATGATACTACTAACCATCTGCCGAGGCTTAAATGCGTGAAACAGGACTCGAACCCATACTCCACTGGCTAAATAAACAATGCTTAATCCGAAAAGCTGACGATAATGTATGAATATTGTAAGTTGGCCAAGATGAAATGACTTCAACAGAGTTGAATACCTGCCACCCCCTCCGCATTGGTTGAAAGACAACGAACCACGAACTTAATAAACAGGCATGCTATATTACTTCTTATTGATCAGACTAATCCGGATTATCAAGTCAAACAAAAAATACAACTAGCAGAGTTTGAAATGGTAGTTATAGGCATAGTGCTTTAATCAATTGGCACACACACACACACGATAAAAAGAAAAATCAAACTTGGATATTTTGCTGATCGATTAGTTATTTCAAGTAAAACGTACAAATCAACTGTAAGCTTTGCTCATCATGTAAGAGTTTAACATATTACTTAAATGTTTAAAATTTCACAGCAACTAAAAACCACTAGAGGTTATGAATAAGAAAAGAAAACCGGTTGTGTGATAAATCGAAGACTGAAAGCGAGTGAGTCGTTCGTGCAATAGTGGAATATGCTCACTAACCAACCAACTAGGTGGTCAAGGATTCTACTCCCAGCCGTCGCACTTCTAAACACCTCGCCCAGTTTACTACCAGGTGGGATAGTACGAGTAATGTGAGTGTAGAACATGCACACTGTGGTAGAATGTAATTCCGGTATACCGGATATAGAAAGTGGCAACAAACAACAAAGGGAAGAGGGAAAGAGAGAACATACATATATAAGACAAACTGTGAGGCTGTGTGACTAAATTGATATGATTGTGAGCATTAATTTATGCTCGAAACGTCGTCCAGTTGTTAATATTGCATCAATGTGTGATATTTAAAATAAACTTATCTAAATTAGGCGATAGTATGCCCGGAAAAAACTGGGAAACTTGAGTATGAGGCTAACAACCCTACCCAGTAAAATATACCATACGACAGCTACAGAAACTTCAAAATTCAAGGTTTGAAGCCTTATGTTCGACTCAGAACGCAAACGAATGAAGTAGTATATAATATAATGAGTCTCAGTGTTATTCGAAGTCTACGAGGGTCGAATAAAATTCACATGCTTCATCAGAACCATGGTGAGCGCAGCATCTTAACTGATGGAGTTTTCAGTAATAATGTAGAATTGAAGAAAAAAGATGAATGGTACACACTGCAATATAGGTGTATACATACCTCGCCTAGTTTGCTAGTCCGTCCTAAGGCCGGAAGAGAAGGTGAGTTGGGAGCATGCGGCTCCCAGCAAAGTAAACCTGTAAAAAAATACCCCCCCCGCCCAATGCAACAGAAACTTCAGAGCACAGAATGCAAATCAACTTTATATCAGATGGTAGGAGGCAATCAGCAGGAAGCCCAGACTGACCTAGGTTTCGCGCTTGCTGGCACTCTTCAGCCAACAAGACGTATCTGCAACCTTGAAGGAACTCATGTCCCTTCTGAGTACATTCAAAACCGCATCACCCAGTGTAGGAGTCACAGACGTTACTACTGAGCTATTCAGGCTGATGACCGACCTCCTGTAGAACTATATTGGATACTTCGATTGGAAACTAGCTGGTAACTAGTGAAATGCGTCTATGTGGCTCGCCATCGAATCTCAATAGGGACATGAATTCCTTTAAGATTGCAGATACGCCTTGCTGACTAATGAGTACCAACAAGCACGGAACCTAGATCAAGCAAGGCTTCTTTCCGATCACCTCCAACCATCTAACATGAACAAATAGAAGTTCACTGTGATCGCGAGCCACCTAGCATGGTAGCCACATTGCAAACTTGACTGATAGAATTCAGTCTACACCAAATAAAGGACTAGACACATTACACTTGTTACCACCTAGTGTTCAATCGAAGTATACAAATCAAATTATTCTTCATTCAAATAGGGAGGAATCTTCAAATTCGAGGGTGAATGACGCTGGCTGGCGAAAGTGATTTCAAGGAGCCGGTTGATCAGATATATCCCCTTTAAATAAAATAAAAAGTGAGTGCACAAATATACACACACACACACACACACACACGGGAAAAATTCCCAAATGACATTGAAAGTACAATGAGAATTACTTTAAAAAAAGACTTACCATAGTGATTCCAATCTATAAACAGCCATTAAATAAATACACTGAGTAACACTCATTCGATTAATCAATGAAGAAGTCTCAGCATTGTTATCCAGTAGAACGCATAACTTGTTACGTATATCCGTCACATCAGTCTGAGTACAACAAACAAACAACAAAAAACAATCAGAAAATAAGGAAGAAAATTATTACCATAAACATATTTAAATATTCATAGAATATATTGATATGACAATTGTCTAACATTAGAAAAATCAAAAATATATTGGATACTTCAACCGCTAAGGGGGTCCAATTGACCCCAAAAACAAAAGCTAGTAAAGTAGGACTCTTTAGCCGGATACTTGACATACAGAGATGTACAATTAAGATAAAATGCATTACAGATCGACTACATCAAGTGAAAGAACTTGAATAAATCAATAATCTCGGAATAAATAATACTTATAATAATGGTTATGCTAATAATAGTAACAATGGTAGTAATCAATAATAAAAGTAATTTTAAAACGAGTTAAGATAGTGGTTTCGCTTAACTTGGAGGGAAAGAGGAGTGAGTACACTTCAAACTGCGTACATCAATTTGAGTGTGTTTTTGGGAGAAAGAAAGCAAATACATACGGTCGCGTACAGAAAAGCGATTATCCACTCACATTATGAAAAGTTTGTCAAGGTGGTTGAAAACAGATAAAGTCAAAAATGCTTAACAGTTTAACAACAAAGCATCTTGTGGACTACGGACATGACACTGACGCTGTCAAGTCATTGATACTGTTGTCAGCAGACAAAAAAAACAGGAAGATGCTTACAACTGAGGAGACCTGTGCAATTAGGGCTTAGAAATCAAGTCTGTGTGCGAGAGGAAATTGTGGTCACTCTGAATCTACCATGATAATATTTTTCACTTATTAACTGTTATTATTATTATTAATTACAATAATATTTTATTCTACCTCTTATCATTACCATTTCTGATTCATTTAAAACTTTTATCACTATCATTATCTTAACACGTTTTAACATTATTATTATCATTACTATGATTATCAGTATTAGTTACTTCGCAATTATTGATGTCTTATCAGTCTTATATGTCCTAATGCAACCTTTATGGTATATATATATATATATATATACCTGTATTTAGAGTATCCAGCTGAAGAGGCCTACCGAAATTCTACGAATTTATTAATTAACACAGAAGATTTGTAGCTCAGGTGAATAATATTGAAGTAGTTGTGTTCTCTGAGAAGTTGGTTGATTTAATTACGAAGCTTCCGTCATCCTTCAGCACAGGTTTTAGTCTAAAATAAAAACTTATTTAAATGCTACACGAATGGTATAACTGTATCTCCTGGCAACCACTGTCGTGACTAGTTGTTTTATAATTCGCGTCTCTATCGATCACTTTTATTGATTTGGGATTCAAATTATTTGTCATGTGATGTTCTTTTCATTAGCTGATAAATTTGTCTTATAAGTATAATGTGTTTGTTAACTGCTAATTCACTTGAGTACCAGGCTTCTAAGAAATCCCTGGTGTTTCTGGTATTTCCACTATTTAAAATTTCTATACTATCCCAACTAAATTGGCGTCCATAATTATATCCTACTCTAGCAATTTTTTTGGCTTGTTTTAAATTCACATCCGGAAACAAAATGTTTCCAATTAGTGATTGACAAACATAGTTAGTCACGACATCTCTCATTAGAATTCCAGGAACACTATCTCAAAATAGTAAAAGTCAGAATTTACACAGTAATTAGATTCCTTCCCTATGACACCTAATGACCAGTAGATTTGTCTCGTAACATGAATGTTTTGAGTTCCATCCCCTGTAGGATGATGGGTACGTACTGCCAAGGAGTTCCAAAGTCGAAACCAAGACAAGAGTCCTTGAACTGATGCCGTCAGTAGTCCATTATCCACCACCCAATGGATATTTATAATCTGTTACTCTCAACAATATCAGTCCGTGATCAACTCGTAAAACATAACTAATCCTTACAAACCAAACTATAGAAAATTATTCTGATGCTCGCTAGTGACTTGCTACAGGTTGGAGCTTCCTGCAGTTCTAGTGAGAAGTCGTGACCAGTGAGGTCCAATTAGAAGTCACGTGTGGATGGATTTCCACCAACGACAATAGTTGGGGTCACGCTAAAATCACGAATTGGTAGAAGTTAGAATTCATGAGCCATTTAATTGGGTCCCAGTGGCTGAATGGTATACGAGCTTGCCTTGTAACCGGAAGGTCCTGCGTTCGAACCCTGGCAGTGGGTGCGTACTGCCGATGATTCCCAAAACTAGGATGAAACAGCAGCTGTCCAGTACTCCCTGGTTTTCAATGGTTCTCTAACTGATATCAGTCCGTGATCAACTCGTAAAACATAACTAATCCTTACAAACCAAACTATAGAAAATTAACTATAACTAAAACAATCACCATCAACGGGAGGGATTTGAAACAGGTCACTTCATTCACTTATCTAGGGAGCATTGTCTCAACTACAGGCACATGGAACTGACGAGAATGTCAAATCGAGAATCGGGAAGGCGAGAAACACATTCATCAACCTGAAACCAATCTGAAAATCTTCGTCACTCAGCCTGCATCAACAACAAAATTCCGATTTTCAATACAAACGTCAAGTCAGTCAGTTCTTCTATACGGATCAGAAACTTGGCGGGTCACAAAGAATATTTCCAACAGCCTGTTGCAAACTTTTATCAACAGCTGTCTTCGTTCTATACTCAAGATCAGATGGCCGGAAAGAATCACCGACAAGAAGCTATGGGAACAAACAAACAAAACAAGAACCAATCGCCCAACAAATATGCAGGAGAAAGTGGAGATGGATTGGACACTCGTTGAGGAGGCCACTGGGTGACATTGCGCGTCAGGCCCTCAAGTGGGACGTCCAAAGGTGACATGGTGGAGATCGTGTGAAGAGGAGTTGAAACAGTATGGACCAACATGGATGCAGGTGAAAAGTACAGCAGAAGACAGAAGCAAGTGGAGACGTGCAGTTGAAGCCCTATGCTCCCCTAGGAACCCAAGGGAACAATAATAATAATAATAACAATAAAACAAAAAAGTTCTCACATAATGATCTAGTTCTGTGACCAAGTAATCATAATAATAATAGTAATAATAATAATAACAGTAGCCGTGATATTCAAAAAACGTGTCAGGCATTACAGTAACAGCTTATTGATTAGCTCAGGCAGATGAATCAAACAATACTCAAACAACATGTGTAACCCTAAGTATGCATGCACAAAGCTGTCAAATAAATATTACTACTTTATATTAAAATGTGAGAGAAAAGTGGTGTCATACGTAGATTGAAAATTTACACACAAAATGAGAATACTCCACGCATACGTGTGTACCTACAACACAATAACTTGAGGGCAATTCACTCTCAGCATCATCATATACTCAGTTGCTGTGAAATGGTAATCTGGCAAAGGAGCCTACTCAAAATCATCTTATCATAATTTGATATTAGCATAAATACAATAAAATACAATGGCGTTATTACATATTTATAAATTAATAAGGGCAATATAATATTGAGTACAAGAACTACAACTGTGATCACATTTTAAAATAAGTAGACTAATTAGAAGCCTAAGTGGTAATGATTGTATTATTATTATTATTATTATTATTATTATTATTATTAAAGTGTTCTAGTGATTGCGAAGAAAAGAATCATCCAAGGTATGCTCGTATTGTGGCGCATGTTGTTGATAAAAATTTGTAAGTAGTATGTTGAACAACGTCTTCATTATTTTACAGTTATTAAAAAAAATACAAGCTTGGTAAATTACAGGCACTAAATGATACGTCACACAAAATTTCATAGTTTGTGTGAGCGCTGTTACTGCCTATAAGACAAGAGGGAAGCAGGTGACTTAACGTCTGATCCACGAGGCAGTGAAGCTACGTTCTCATGGTTCCCAGTGATCAAAGCAGATTCTCATATGCTATCCGATCTTTTCGGATCCTGGAGTTCATGTGCACCACAGAGTTTAGACTCGACGTTTTTCAGCTCCGCTAAGAGTAGACCTGTAAATCTTCAACAATGTCCAAGTCAGTCGGCAGGAAGCCTTGGACGTAGGTTTCGTGCTAGTCGGCACTCGTCGGCAAGGCGTACCTGCAACCTTGCAGGAACTCACGTCCCCTCTGAGATTCTGATACGCCTTGCTGACGAGTGCCAACTAGCACGAAACCTAGGTCCAAGGTTTCCTGTCGATTGCCTCTAACCATCTAATATCATCAAATCAATGTACACCGCAATGGCGAGTTACCTAGAATGGTGGCCACATTACAAACCTGACTGATAGAATTCAGCCTGCGCCAAAAAGAGGACTAGACATATCACACTAGTTACTAGTGCCAAATCAAAATGTCCAAGTCAGTTAAACATAACGAAATTATACATTAAAGAAAACAAACAAATGTGTATCAGTGGAATGCTCGCAATACATGCACGTGGTCCGGGGTTCGATCCCCGGCAGAAGCACTTCTAAACCTCGCTTAGCTGATAATAAAACAGGCAGAGAGGAAAGGTTGGGTATGAGGCTAGCAACTCCACCCCATAAAAATAAAACCCCTGCCACCGCAACTTCAAAATAAAAGCTTGAAGCTCTAAGTTCCATTTAGAACACAAAGGAATAAAATCCAAAAAATCAATAAGAAGAACACATGAGTCAGCAAAAGCGTCTCTTTTCGTAACTTCACTTTAAAGCTATATATATATATAAATGGACCATAGAGGTCATAGGTTATTGCCAGTTAGTAGCAGTAAAGCAAGTCAAAGTGCATGAGTAATAACTATGTCTGGAAAAGTTAGGAATCATCTCATATAATCAAAAAGGGTTGACAACTAATCACTTGAGTGATTATTAATCGTTTGGAAATAGTTGATAAGAGAGCCAAAGGAAAGAAAGGTTGAAAATAAATGGCAAAAAACGTAAAACGAATTACCTAGAGATTATTATACGGTTATTCAGGAGGAAAAAGAAGGTGTAAAAATAGGAAACAGAAGTACTAAAGCCATGGTAGTAGGATAGGCTGGATAAAACATTCCTGAACACAAAGTGCATTTTTCTCCTTAAAGATCGCTAAAGCTTCAGTCCCATGAAGCAGAATTAGGCTTGGTCCTACTTTATATGTGACTCTGAAAGAAGTCTCTCCTAACGCTTCGTGGTCAGAAGTAATGATGTGATCCAAAAATGAGCTGTTGACTGTTTTAAGTTCTCGTTTTAACAACCATGCCGGTAAGTGTCCCAAAAAAACACGTCTAGACAATGTCCTGCTGCTACGGTCTATGTGCTCAGCTCCCAAAGAGCAGGTGAGTTAGTATATACACACAGTGGGGACTTCCCTTCAGTGTTTTGGTGAATAGGAGCATGTGTAGAGAAGGTGAGACGTAGTGAGATGCAGCAAAGAACGTTGTCCGAATTGATTTGATAGGCGCAGTTTCGGAGGGCCTCATTAATTGTATCCCCCTCGAATTTCAGATTTACAATTAGTTGTTTCTTCGGCACATACGGGTTTTTAACAGTATCAGTCTTACTATTTAGATGTTTATTGACGAAGGAGGTTGGATAGTTTAAAATACTCTAGCCAGCTACAAGTTATTGACGAAATCAATGAAAGTAAATCAGTGTCAGCGTTGTTTACAATAGAATAAGAGTTATAAGGAATAGACAGGAAGGTTATCTATTAAACAGAGCGGAAATTTAGTGTCATAGAATCCTCCCTACTCCCTCTCTGTTTTCAGTACATGCAGACATAAGAAGTATTTGAACCCAATTACTAGGAACGGGTTATTCGGTGTACCAGGGACTGATGGTACAACGTAGGGCAGGATTCGAACTTGAGACGTGATGACATTATATATATATATATACATATATATACGAAAAGGCTAGCAACAATAATCACGCATAGAATAGAAAAACACTGTTACACTTCTGCAGTAACAATCGCTTACCATACAAACACAGATACTCAAGTAACAATAGATAAAACGGAGAAACAAAAAAGCTCGTTTATGTAGCAGAAGGTAAACTTACAACATCACTCCTCCTGCCCCCCACCAAGTTAGGCAAAACCATTTTAAAAAAAGTAACATACATCTTCACTTCGTAAACAGACAACTTCAAAACTTAATTTTTGTAGTTCCCTAGCTTATTAGTGTCAACTAACCAAGATTTTCAAGTTTGACTGAGGATTGATATCAGCTAGAGAACTATTGGAAAATCATCAAGGAGTACTGGAAAACTGTTTGTCTAGTCCTAGTTTGGAACTCATCGACAGTACGCACTAACCGCCAAGGTTAGAACCTAGGACCTTCCGGTTACAAGGCAAGCACGCAGACTATTCGGCCGCTGGGACGCAACTCACTGGCTCATGAATTCTAACTTCTACCAATTCATGAAAACAAATGAAATCCCTACAAAACAAATCCTGAGAATTAATCTAGATTTGTATACATTCTCATGCTCCGCTAACCTAATTCATCCCGCCATCACAACCACTGCAGGGAAGGAAGAAAATTAAATTTCAAAGTTGTGTAGTCACAATTGATGATATGATTATAAACAATAAATTGTGTCCGAAATGTCATCCAATAGATAATACTCTTTCACACTGTGTGTCATATATAACCAATCAGCAAGTTAGTGTGGAATTACATAATATTACAGAGTACCAAGTTATACACATATATATCATCAATACATCTTTTTACCTGAGATAAATTTCTAGCGCTCAGTGCAGAACTTTGTTGTAATTCAGCTCGTAATGAATCTTTCAATAATAAAACCGGTGATTTTGTGGCAATTTCACAAAGTCCACGATAGTATTCTATAGGCCATACTGCTACAAAAAAAAGAAGAAATAAATAAAGGTGAAATCATAATGATGATAAACTGTCATGAAATTGTGTGACAAGTTATCCGAGAATCATTCCCCTGAAGTTCAACTACCAACATAAGTCTAGCATGTGCAACGCATTGCAAAAGTTACCTGTTTAACATTGCTCCCCAATACAAAGAGAATGGGATTAAACACCTTTAATAGTAAATAGTCTGGTGACCTATTTGTTTGAACAATCAGTTAGTTATAACGTCACCACCAATGAGTGACATGAAAAGGCTAGTTGTCTTTGATTACAGGTTAGGTGTTGAGTAAACTTGAGGTTAGGCGTCGAGTGCTAGGCAAGGAGGGATACTCAGTTGATGAGGTTGTGAGGCTACATCGATTGAGATGGTTAGGATATGTGTTACACGTGCATTCTTAGCCATCACTCTCCTCTAAGGGAAATGTTAGCTAACTGACATAGGATCAGGTTGGAAAACCGATGGTGACAGTCAAACCAAAACATGCCTTTATGAGTCAGTGAAATCCACTGAGTCTAAGACAGTCAGTCAGCCACGTAGAGAGGTGTAAATTTCCTCACTGACTGGTTGAGATCCTCGGGATGGTAAGGGTCAATGACGGCTGGAGACAACTGGTGATATGGCTCACATTCGTTCTCAATGTCTGGCGCAGAAGCACCCACTCTTTGTGATTTACAAGTCATATCCAATAAAATTCTATTGTTCTTACATACTGCTATTTTTTCGCTTCATATTTCTCTTTACCATCTCTCTTTACTCTCTCCTCTTGCTTTGTGTGCTACATGAAGGGAGTGTGGCAACTCGAACTGCTGGATATCTGCGCAAAGTTCTATGTTGAAACCAATCAGTCAGTCAGTCAGTCAAAGCCTAAGGGTAAGGATTCCTGTTTATAGACTCCCAATGTTTAGAAAATATAATTCCATGCAGTTGATTGTGAGCCAAACCAATTGTGTAAGATGACCAGTAATACACCTCCAGGCTGACCAAACATCGGTAGATGAAGTAGGATTTCAAAACCTTGATCCTATAGTTGGAAGTCGACTGTCTGAATCACCAAACTCCTAAGATTTTATCCAATGGAGAAAAAAATGAATCCGAACATCAACATCCGATCATGATGCTGCCAACTGCCGGTAAACACCACCACCATCACAAAATAAGTTGACTTATACGGTTTCATCAATCACTTGTTCAGTCAGTAAGACCTCAATGACAAACAAAATTGTCCTCAATTCTTATCATTTTCGGGACACAAAACACAAAAGTGGAGAAAATAATAAATGTTGAATGAAATTTCAGATGTGAGAAAGAATGTTTATTCATATGGTAGTGAAATCCTATATATGTTAGTTAGTGTGTATGTTTGTATGTATGTGTGTAAACATAAGAGTCGGCTTTTAAACCTCAAAAGGCGGGAACAAACAGAAAACATAAATAAAATTGAAAACTCAGCTAATAATTAAAATTGTGTTGTACAATCTAAAATCCAATCACATGACCAAGTATGAAACACGCAGTTCAGTGAAGAGACTCTTTTCGGTGAATTCGTCTCCCCCCCCCATTCAGTTGTACAATCGTATTTATATACAATCTGATTTTCATGAATAAGGGTAGTAACATAAGTAATGAGTTGTTACAAATATAGTTTTCAATATTAGTCAATGCATGAGACGACTTGAATAAGTATATTAGAATTACGCAATAAGATGAATAATTTGATAAATGAGTTGTAATCAGGAGTGACATAGAAACATAGGGAAATGTGGAATTATGTAGGAGATTTAGGGAATTACAAAAACAAAAAAACAAAAACCAAGTCAGTAGAAATCAACAAGGTTGTTATTATGATAGCAGAAGTGGTTGAGTAGTTTTTTTTCGTGAGCAGAGCTCCGGCTTCTCTTACTCAACGGCTGAAGTTTCAGCAATGTAAAGGAGACAAAAGCGTTGACAAGGTTTTTCGATGATCGCACTCCTTAAAGAGCCTCACCACTACCTGCCTGCAACCATATGGGATGGTGTGTTCTTGAACCCTTTTAGACAGAATATGCGTCGAACGACACATGTATCTGAAACTACAGCAACAAGTGAAATGATAGATGCACATAGAATTGGTCAGATGCAAGATCTTGTCCTTACGGTTTATGCAGATCATTGGATGACTGGAGAACACTTCTCTTTGCGTTGCTGCAAACAGTATTCTTCTCAAAGATGCTGAAATTTTCCTCTTAAGAATATCGCAGTATAAGTCTTCCTTGAAATCCAGGTTCAAATATAGTTTTTTTGGAACAAGTAACGTTTCGTTCCTCTGAACTTTTCGTTTGATATTCTTGCTGATGAATCTTGGTGGGTATCTATTTCGCATGAAGATTTCTTTGAAAAGATTTAGGTCTGCTTCTAGGACGTCGCGACTATAGATGCGTCGGATCCAAATGACAAGAGATTTAATTGTACAGCTGGGAAGGAAAATGAATTCGCCAAAAAGAGCTTATTCGCTGAACTACGTGTTTTGTTTTCATTTGTATCTGGATGGGAGTTATTCATGCATTGAAATAAAAACACCAAGACGAACTATTTATCGTAATACACCATTTTGTGAAGACAGGAATCAAGCTGAAGAATAACTCCTTCATACATATCCTATTATCCTACCAAGAACTTAAAATAGCTACTCACTGAATAGCACCTGTTGAATTCCTTGCATTCCGAGTGGAACACAGGATTGCAAGCCTCAAGTTTTAAAGTTTCATAATGCGTGGTGTTTTTATTTACGATGTGCAATTGCTAATCTAACATCCAACCTTCCCCCTTTCTACACGCTTACTACCGGCTAGTGAACTAATCCTTATTGAGGAGTTCATCGGTCAGAGAATCAAACCCGGACCAAGTACATGGTTGGAGAGCAACAAGATATATCGAAGGAACTGATGTATTGTCGGAGATTCGAACCCACATCACCCAGTAGTGTAATCGGAAACGTCATCAAGGAGCTCCTGTGACATCAACATAATAGTTCTTGGATGAATTTTACAGCTGTGTACACGTTTCAATAATAATAATAATGCTCATGCGCATTGGGAATAATAAAACACTAAGGTCTAACATTACCAGCAAAATGTTGACTGTTGCGTCATACAAGTCAGTTCAGATTTCTCGCGTATCAACCTATAAGCCACACACCCACACACGCATACCACCTACTCAGTTAACTAAGCTTAATTAGTCAGGACAAGTTTCAAATGCATGACTCATTCACTGAAGTTCAAGTCGTTAAGCCAATGATTCATATATCCACACTATAAGCATAATGAATACAGTAGATTATGGAAGTAACGACAACAATTAGATGGCACGACAGATAGTTTGAGGATTCAGAGAGAAGATAAACAATGGAATAAGCTGAAATCAGTTTAAACGCCACCGACGAGTGTAAAATACTGCTGTAACAGCAGATACGAGAATCGAGAATGAGCTTTTGCTAAGGAAAAGTGCACCACATATTGATACATTGTTAACCACATTAAAGTTCAACTAGGTTAGAGGAGGATAAGAACTGTTCTGATTGGTTAACAATTGGTCCACCAAGGTTAAACAATTTGTCCAATGAGGTTATTTCATGTCAGCAACGTAAACGAAATTCAGATTTGAGGGAATCTGTCTGTCTGGATTCAACATAGAACACGGCACCGAAGTACGGCAGTTCCAGTTGCCATGTTCCAAACAGCACACAAAGGTAGACAAGAAGATGAGTGAAGAGAATCAATAGAGTTTTGACAAGTATAAGAGTGAAACAGAATGAGTAATGGTAGAAAGGAATATGAAAGATTACAGAGACTGAATACAACGGCGTAAGCCATTGACAACGATTTTGAGCCATGTCACCTATTGTCTCCAGCCATTGATTCTTAGAGTCCCGAGAGCGGGCCCCAACCCGGAAGTCTGTATCTCCCCACCTGACTCAGTTTAACTGTCAAGGATTTCATGGATTGATGAGACCATGTTTTTGTTTGGCCACCACTCACTCTTTTCCAACCTGCACCTATATCAGCTAGTAATGCCCGTCCGTCGGGGGAGGCGATGGTTAGGCATGCGCAGCACGTGACCTAGCCATCTCAATCTATACAACTTTATAGCCTCTCCGATTGATTTCCCCTCTTCGCCCAACACTCTACGCCTAACGTCAACATTACTTACCTTATTATGCCAACTAACTTTAGAAAGAGATCGTAGACATCTATGATCAAAAACAGTCAACCTTTTCATGTCTTCAACTCGTGTTGGTCATGTTTCAGAGCCATAGAGAAGGGCGGAACGAACTGCTGAGGAGTACACACGTCCCTTTGAGGGAAAAAAAGTTTTACCTCCTGCAGCCATTGAGTTAAAGCGTTAATTTCAGTTTTCACTACTTCCTATCAATCTGCATATCACGCAACACTACTAATAAGTTCGTGTTTCATTGTGTTCTATAAGGCAAACAGACCTAAGCAGATCATAAATTGAGTATCGTAATGCAATTGAGAGACTGTCAGGCTGGTGATAACTATGAGGTTGGGGGCGGGGGGTTGTGGTCTGACCAGAATACACATACACAACCTGTCAAGACATACAGTGAAGAAGTCTGCAAAAGTATACAAGATACAATCCTATATTCATGCTGTTAAGCAGCTTCACTGTTATTATGAAAGCTGAGAAGTATCATTTAAAATTTTAACCACAGTCAATAGCTTGATAACGAGTGCTAACCAACACGAAAGCGAAGGGTCACAGCTTCTTGCTAACTGCCTCCAACAAACAATTATCCCGATAGAGTCAACTTCAAAAGAATGCCAAGTGTCAACAAATAATACGACTCTGGTGGTGATGTCTCAAAATTAAAGTACAAAAACTCAGATCCAAATCTTTATATAAATTGCAAAGAAAAATGTGTTCACGGTTGCATCCATCAACGATGATATATATACATATAGTGAACTTACTTGAATTGGGATCAGCGAAACCCATAACCGTAACATACAACCAAAATTCTCTGAATAATTTTTGCAAGCGTTGATTAGGATTTTGAATCGGCGGTAAACGTCGTAGAATCTGTGGTCAAGTTAAGTTAAAAGTTGGAAAATAAATAAAAATAAAACTGAAGATAAAAAAGCAATGATAACCTGTAGCATAAGTAAAAGACGTAAACAACGAAGAAGAAAATTTTCTTTACGACGATTCATTTTTTCATAAGATGTACAGTCCTAATTAGATTTTACCAACAGCTCATAAGATCAATCAGATTCTGGTTAGCCAAGACTGGACAGTGTTACAGAATACGTGATTAAAAAATGACGAAAATAACAAGAATTATACAGAGGATTCAAATCCTCTGTAGTACTTCCGTACAACGAAGGAACATCAGACACCCTCAGTAGGATACTGAATGAGGCTGGAATTTGGGTGAGAGGAGAGACAGAAAAAATATTCATAAAATACAAATTTTCAAGCCGTGTGAATAAACTGATAAGACTAAGTGTAACAAATTGTCATTAAAAAGTCATCCCACTATTAATACTGTATCAGTGTATGTTATCTTATTATTATTATTATTTCCTTTAATTCCTAGAGGAACGTAGGGCTTCAGCCGTGCGTCTCCATTGCGTTCGGTTCTCTGCTAGAGTCTTCACCTGGCTCCAAGTCTGCCCACACGTTTTCATCTTCTCTTCACATGACCTCCTCCAAGTCACCCTTGCACTGACGACCAACTCGCCGCTTGCCTTTCAGGTTCCACTCGAGCAATGGCTTGTCTAGTGATGTCACTTGATGGTTTCCACAGAGTATGGCCAATCCACCTCTATTTCTCCCTGTTTATTTGTTGCATACTCGGTTCCTGGTTGGTTCGCTCATTGCCAGAGATCTCTATTGCTGATGTTTTCTGGCCGGCCATCTGATCTTGAGTATTGAGTGAAGATAACTGTTAAAGAAGGTCTGTAGTTTGTTTGAGATGCTCTTTATGACGCACATTGCAAGTCTCTGATCCGTATAGTGAGTAGCACTGACTTCACTTTGGAGTTGAAAATCCGGAACTTATTTATCCTGCTGAGTGCTGTTGACCTCCACACAGACTTGAGAGTAGTGAAATCTTGTCTTGCTTTTCCGATTCTTGCTTTGACATCCTCTTGAGTTCCGTCCGCCTGTAGTTGAAACGATGCTTCCCAGGTAGGTAAAGGAGGTTGTATTTCCAGCTTCCTCCCATTTATTTCTGATCGTTGTCTGTTGTTGTTCTTGTCCAGGAATCTTCATTATCTCTGTTTTCTCTATGTTCTCTATGTCCTATCTTCTCTGGATGCTTCTTCTTCCAACTTGTTGCTTTTCGCTTGCATGTCTTTCAGTTTGTGGGAAATCAGACATATATCATCGGCAAAGTCCAGATCCTCCAAGATTTTTGGGTGAGTTCATTTTATGCCTGTTTCCTCATTGCCCGCTGTTTGTCGCATTATCCAGTCTACTGCAATCAGGAAAATCATTGGCGATAGTAGGCAGCCAGCTTGGCTTACTCCCATCTTCACTTCGAAGGATTCCGTGAGTTTCCCGTTGTGGATTACTTGGCATGCAGCATTGTCGTACAGCTGTTGGATGAGATATATAATTGTCGGTGGCACCCCGTTGTAGCGAAGTAGTTGCCAAAGCACCTCTCGATCGACGCTGTCGAAGGCCTTTTCAAAGTCGATGAAGTTGAGATAGAGAGGTGACTGCCATTCAAAGCTTTGTTCAATGATGATCCGTAATGTGGCAATCTGACCAATGAATGACTTGTTTCTCCTGAATCCAGCCTGTTCCGGTCGAGGTTTTTCATCCAGGGCTATTAGTGTATGTTTCATCAAATAAACTAATATAAAAGGGAACTACCTTCTAACACAGTGTCCAAGTTATGCACTTACACTAAGACGATGCAGCTGTCAAGAACTACTTCATTCGCAATGGTAGTCGAATTGAAGTCTGTTCGTAACAAAATGCTGGAACAAAACGAACCCCTGCAAACCAACACTTGAATATTAATCTAATGCTCACTAGCGAATGGCCCTATTCAGGTAGGTAGTTAACTGAGTTCTAGTGGAAAGTGGTGATCAGTAGGCTACAGAAGGTCGGGTGCGAAGGCATATACTCTCCAGCAATCCCACTGGTTAGCGGTTGTGTTATGTCGCAAATTGGGGTGGTCATCGGATCGGGGGCCCCAGTGGCTTAATGGTCTACGAGTTCGCTTGGTAACTGGAAGGTCCTGGGTTCAAACCTACTCGGCGGTTGAAGAGTCCCAGGCCAAGGCGAAACAGCTATGCAGTACTCCCAGGTTTTCCAAGGGTCCTCTAGTCAATGCCAGCTCATGATGAAATCATGTAACCAATCAAATCCCTGCCACCCAACACTTTAATCAGTTTCCACCTGATTTCACAGGAAAGGTGGATCATGCCACAAAAAAAGTGACTATAAAACCAAAACGGTAAACTTAGAATTACTGAACGAATGATTCTCCATGATTTGTAATCATTCAGCAATGAAAAACCTATTGAGTAGAGACCTTGACACGGTTAGGTAAACATTTTATCACTCAGCTATTGTATTAGAATAGAATGGCTCAAAACTTTTAAGTTTTAGCGATCTCCTATAGAAGAAGAATAGTTGTCCAGTAACATTCACCAGTAGGGTTCATACACCTGCTTTCATTAATCATTACACAGAAAACGGCTGCCAACTCTAACACCAATGAACATCGACTACAAGGTCACTAGGCTATAATTAGGTCTGTAAAAAACATATATTTTAACATATGTCCTTCCTTCCAAGTGAATTATATCCCCATGTAATTGTGTGACAGATACAGAGGGAAGGTTCAAGACCACAGTACAGTTCACCTTATTTCACAAAAGTTCGCTAGGTCATATCTCCAGTTTAGAATGGAATCGATACGTGTATCAAATAAATTCTGAATCAATAACAGCAAGACGATCACGAAGTTTTGATAAGTAATAAAGTGACAATACAAGAACAGGTAACAGAACTTACAATCGCTATTACGGGGATAAGTTGTCCAAGGCCATGAGCTGCTGTTGTCTACATTTTTAAGAGGAAAAAAAAGAGAAAAAACAAGAGGGAATATGACCAATTAAGAATAAATCTTTTACACTCCAAAGTTCAGCAGCATGTTTACTATTCGTTCTTTGAGTTCAACGGGGAACACTGGGTCTCACTTATCACATCTCCATCCTATTCACTAGGTTCAACTTCTTCATCTTCAGATTTTTTTTTTGACTCTTAACATGATGTCTTCCATGTCACTCTCTCTGACAACCAACAAAAAAATTTCAGCTTTCCGTGTTCCACTCGACAGCTTGGTGTGTGTGACAGCGCTTGTAGATCTCTTCAGTGTATATCGAATCTATTCCCATAGCGTTCTGTCTATTTCTTGGATGATAGTTTATAGGTTGACTGGTCGATCATCTTCAGTTTTTTGTTCATCAGAGACTTGGCGCGTCATAAACAGCATCTCAAACAAACTACAGACCTTTATTAACAGCTGTCTTCGATCAATATCACTCAAGATCAGATGGCCAGCCAGAAATGATCAGCAAAAGAGAGGGGTCTCTGGGAGCGAACCAACCAGGAACCAATTGTGAAACAAATAGGCAGGAAGAAATGGAGATGGATTGGCCATACTCTGAGGAAACCATCAAGTGACATCACTAGACAAGCCATTGCTCGAGTGGAACCCAGCCGAAAGGGAAGCGGCGAGTTGGTCGTCAGTGCAAGGGTGACTTGGAGGAGGTCATGTGAAGAGGAGATTAAAACGTGTGGGCAGACTTGGAGCCAGGTGAAGACTCTAGCAGAGAACCGAACGCAACGGAGACGCACGGCTGAAGCCCTATGTTCCTCTAGGAATAAAAGGAAACAATAATAATGATAATGATAATATCCTTTCCGAACATCTGACCTTTACTATTAAGTCGGAGCATCTGTTGATGAAAGCCTACTACTGCAGGCTGTTGAAAATGCTTCCTGTGACGCGCGCGCGTGCGCCAAGTTTCTGAAGCATGGAAAAAATATTCACTTGAAATTAATGTTAAAATATCGGATCTTTTTCGTTCTGTTCAGTATCGTATATATATTTCTACGTGTGTTTGCACAGCAATGAACGTCTCTATATCTTGCTTTCCTAACTGTTACTTTGACAGACTCAAAGGTTTAGTGCTAATGCACTCTAATGCCTGTGTGACAAGTAGGATACCATGGAAAAAAGTCACGAAGTTGTAACACACATGTTAGATGCATGAGAATATATTCTTTTTACCAATAAAGTAGCCTCTTGAAAAGGGGGGCTTGTACTGAGAAGCAAGATGAGGAACATGATGTGGGTAAAGGAGAATGATGCTCAAGAAGCCTTCGTTTGCTTTTGCAAGTGTGTGGGTGGTTGTTACTTCCCAGCTGCCCACACCGTGGAAGTTGATTGATTCTTCGGGTACCTTAAACAGAAAGAGGGTTAGTGTTGCATGACCGCAGAGCCCAGGGGACAACTGCTTGAGGCTAGTCACACACGGACTGTATGAACTGATTTCTGGGATTGGTTCCGTATTGGTAAAACTTACCGCCGGTTACTAACCACCGTAGAGTAAGTCGGGATGGACAATTCTTGGGGTCAAATCCTTCTCTCCCGAGTAGAGAGACAGTATAGCTGGCATGCTGGTCATCTGAGGGAAACACCTCACTGCCGTTGCACCCCTGTTCCCCAGCAGTACGACTTCGCCCTCAGACCCCCAGTATAGTGTAACTGCTTTTAGTCTAATCGCTATCCTAACAACCTTCCTGGCATGGTATGACCTGCAGGAACATTGGTTCTAGCCAGTGCAGCCTGTTGGGTCATAGCGATGTGCAAGTTAGACCACCACATCAAGGTAGCAGCTATCGGTCGGGGCAGCAGCAATGGGTAACACGGGTTCGAATCTGATTAGGGACACGAGTTCCTTCAAGATTGTAGATACAGCTTGCTGAAAGGGGAGCGCCAACAAGTACAAAACAAAAAATAACGTTAAGTAGGACTTCCTACCGATTGCCTCCAACCACCTAATAAAACAGTTCAGAGTGTACCATGTTGGTAAACCACCTAGAATGCTGGCCACATTGCACACACTTGACTGATAGAAGTCAATCTGCACCAAACAAAGAACTAAACACATGAGACTAGTTAGTATCCGTTCAAAGTGTTTACTAACTCCATAGCAGTCCGCTCTGTCTTCATTTATGGCTGTGATACTTTACCATTGAAAGTGGAGGATATGCGAAAGTTAAATGTCTTTCTCTGCAGATGTTAGCATCCGATCTCCCAAGTTAAATGTGATACAGATAAGGCAGGATAGAGTCTGTCAATGAGATCATGAAGCGACACCGACTGAGATGCGGCTAAGACACATGCTAGGCAAGCCAAGCCACCACATTCTTTGACGTGGAATGTTAACTGGCATAGCCATTGACTGGGAAAGAGTTCGGAGTGGTCAACACAAGACTTGGCAGCTATCCATGGTTTGAGCTATATAGAGAGAGGTGTATAGACTGCCTGATTCTCAACGGTGCAGATGGATTCACACTTTCAAATCTCACATATTCTTTAAACCATAGTGTTTTTCTATGTTATTACTCTTTCTCCTTCCTATGCACTTTCGCTCATTATAGTTCGTTTACCCCCCACCCCACACACTCCTTTCTCTCCCTTCCCTCTACAATATGTACTACATGGTGTGGAAAGTTGCACTACTGGTGCACTTCTGTGCATAGATGATCAATGTTAAAACTCAGTCAGTTAGTCAATTAAATCATCCAATAAGTGAGCTGAACACAACACACACACGCAAAACACTCACCTTAGCTACAAATCTTCTCCACTATTACAAAATGGAAACATAAAATATTGAATTAACAAAACACAACCGATTAAGTTGTTTGGTGTGATGGTGAAAGAAACGTAAAAGGGCTCCCAATTAGTAGATATCAAAAAAGAACAACGTCAGACACGGAGAAAGAGAGAGAGAGGATTAGCCATAATGGTTTTTACATATCTTAACGAACGATGTGCGACTTCATTCGTTCGAAGAAATAAAAGTGAAGGCGATAACCGATAAGAAAAAGATAATCAAAGCGTATTATGTTACATGACGTTACAGATAAACAATTCTTCTCAAGAAATACACTGTGATAGTATATACACTCCTTGTGATTTCTATCAGATGCTAAAAAGCCTCATTATTCTTCTCCTGTATATGGCATTGTTTCTCTCTACATTTATGTCTCTCTTTGATCGATTACTCTAGGACGAAGATCTACGGGCGAAAACAAACAAGTTTGAAGTAGAGGCGGCAGACAGCGAATAAAAGAAGACTTCAAGTGAACATGGAGAAGATAGCGGTAACGATGATACCTAACCAAGAAGAGGGACAACAACAAACATCAATCCTCATCAATGGGAGAAATTTAAAGGAAGACGCTTCTTTCACTTTTCAAGGCAGCGTCGTTTTAACTGCAGGCAGTCGCCACGGATGAGGATATTGAAGCCACCAATGGTCGGAAAAGTAAGACAGAGACTCGGTGCGCTCTTCACCAAAAGATTTCCATCAATAGCTGCCTTCATTCCACACTGAAAATCATATAGCTGGACAAGAAGGATAAGTAACACGGAACTCTGGGAACGACCTAATCGAAAAATGATTGCCCAGTAAATACACAGAAGAAAATGAAGATGGATCGCACCAGACAGTCCCTCGACAGGAACCGCAATGGAAAAAGACGAGTTGGGCATAGGTCTGACAGTGCAATAGAAGAAATGAGGGACTGTAGGCAGATGTGGAGTCAGCTAAAAAGGACTCCTGGGAACAGGATAAAATGGAGATTTGTCGTTGAAACTTTATGCTTCACCCGGAACCCAGGGAGGTTAAAAATAATAATAGTAATAATCAATTATGCCATTATTAACAATACTTCATTTCAAAATCTAAAGTTTTAGGAAGTTATTCAGTAGTGAGTAAGCAGTAGTCAGTGCATTCATTACCACAACAACAAAAACTTACATTTGATGCATTTTTAGCATCTTGATCGATTTCCATATCAACGTGTACATAATGCTCTAACAGACGATGGAGGAGTTTGTTTAATTTTGCTTGACCTTGTACAAATGTTGATATATTTGCGAATACATTTATCATAGCTTCAGATAAATGCCTATATACACAAGAAAAAGGATCAATATATTATACAGGGAATATAACAAAAGGATCCAAGCACCTAAAAGCTTGGTTACTTTGCGACAACCCTTATCATTGTGGACTGAATAAATATCAGAGAGAAGTAGAACATGAGATGGACGGAAAGACTTTATTACATATCCCCGCTAAATGTAGCGTCGCTGTCCATTGCTATGGCAATTTTGTTTACTTTTTTAAATGAAATTTTAGATTAAAACATCTTTTCTGGCATACATATAATCGATGGCATTATATTCTTGAACTGCGTAACATTTACTGCACTTTTATCAGAAAATCTGGTTTGATACTGATATTTGCGCAATATTAAATGGATCAAAAAAGGCAGTAAGTTCAAAAGCTAAACGTATATTATTGATTTTTCATGATATCATGCCGCTCTATTTTAGCCCATTTTTATTTAAACGCCCTAATACCCACTTAATAAAGGTGATGTTACTTCAAAAAAAATAAATAAATAAAACAGGATATGCCATATATAATCGTCCAATGGATGAAGGATAAAATAAAGGACGGAAATAGATTATCAATATATGCCCTTAATTTTATCCCACACTTATGGCACGTTTTATGTACTGACCATTTTTGTTCTGAAGGTTCAATTCACATTTCTCTGCTAACTCTTCAAACTTATCAATAAATGAGGCGCTAGTTAAAGTCATTTAAAATCTACGAATTCAATATCGTTGTCACATGCTTCGAATGTTATTGAGGTAGTAAAGAATTAATTCTCAGGCGTCTAGTCTTCTCTTGCCTTCATCATCTTCTCCATAGACTAATATATTTTAGAAATCCATTGAGAACTAGAGAGTACTTCTTCCGATGGGCGATATATTATAGTTTTGTATAGTTCGGTTTGTAAGGATTAGTTATATTTTTACAAGTTTATTGCGGATTGTTATCAGTTAGAGAACCATTGAAAACCAGCGTGGAGTACTGGACAGCTGCTGTTTCATCCTAGTTTGGGAATCATCGGCAGTACGCACCCACCACCAGGGTTCGAACCCAGGATTCATGAGCCATTGAATCGGGTCCCAGTGGCTGAATGGTATAGGAGCTTGCCTTGTAACCGGAAGGTCCTGGGTTCGAACCCTAGTGGTGGGTGCGTACTGCCAAGGATTCCCAAACTAGTGGAATGAAACAGCAGTTGTAAGTACTCCAAGCTGATTTTCAATGGTTCTCTAACTGATATCAATACGTGGTCAACTCGTAAAAAGATATATAATAGCTTCACAAATCCAGCTATTAACAACTCTCTTGCTTTCAATGGATCTTTAAACAAATAATACTTACAAATCATCGTATTATACGTGCACAGATAGAAAGGTGAAAACTTTCAGATAATAACAATAATATTGGTAATACAAGTGTGAATTGAAATTCTCACCGTTCGATAAAAACTTTTCCTTCAGGTCACCAGAGAAATTCGTTAAGTATGTGTGTGTGTGTGCGATATTCCTTATTTCTTTCTCTCTCTCGGATGGCATTATAATTTAAGCGTAAAACGATAAGAACCTCTACTTTTTTTTAAAAATCGAAGATTTGTACTGGCGACGGTCTTAGACTTTCATAGATTAATGTCGTTTCTCTCTCTCTTAGAGATACACACAGACTAACGCACAGACAGAAAAACATGCTACTGAAAAAAATAACCCCGATTTCTAGTGAATTATACATAAATTATCTACATCTGCTGCTGTACGTGTTTTTATTGTTGTCAGAATGATAATCAATGCAATATTGCACTTGAACCGATCGATGAATAATAACAATAGTAATAATAATAATAATAATACATGATCCAATCATAATCCCTGAGTAATTAAAAGTAGGCTGTGAACTGAACTTTTTAGCCGCCATTCCAAATGACTCACTAACTAACTAACTAACAAACAAATAATCTTAGAAACACAATGTGAGTATACTAACATTCAGTTCATATCTTTCAGCTGAATAAAATGCATTCAAATATTACGCAAAGTAGGAATCCTTTCAGTTCTGAGTGGAACATGCATCTTCAAGCTCGATCTTTGAGGTATCAAAAGCAGCAGTGTTGTTTTGTTTTAAAGCGCGGTGAAGTTGCTAGCTTCACCGCCAACTGTCTCTATTTATTGGCTTTACTACAGGCTAAACAAGGTCTACGAGTGTGTCAGCTGGGGGGGGGGGTCCAACTCCAGGCCATGGGCATGGATTCTGCGCAGTATTCTACCACCGAACCACGGATGCACGATGCAGTTCAATGATTATGCGGAATGGATGATAGAATATTAATTATAATACCAATATTGTTATGATAATTAACTCACCTCAGCCTGGATGTTTTCATTTGTGGATGTAAAGCCATTTCACGAGTGCCACGTACACGAATTGCAGTTAATATATCCATAATTTGATCATGAACTGCTGACTGGAACAAAAACAAACATTTAAACATTTTTCATGCTCGGGAATATCTCCCACTATGGCTAAGTAAAGGTGTAGTTAAAACCACTAACAGTTCGATATTGGACCATTTGGTGCAAACCGGGCACACAGCCAGTGTGGAAGAATCCTTCTCTATAATCTACCGTGTGCCTAATAAATTGCCAAAATCATCTAAGCACCGGATGCTCCAAACAGCAGAGGCTATTGCAATTCGCCTCAAACAACCAGTGCTCTGTGTGCAAAAGAAGCAAGTCCAGCCACTACTACTGCCCTGGCCAACCTTCAGTAGAGACCATAAATTCATGAATTTGTATCATTATCTTTCCTAATTTTTATAACATTCAGTTTATTGTTTTGTTGATGCTATGGAAGTGCAATCCACTGATATTATTATTGATTCTATGTTATTTAAACAACATTATTGTTGTTCATAACACTAATTCATTCATTCATTCACTATAATGTACATATAACTGTAGAGCCTGATGACGAAGTTATCGAAAAGAGTTTTCTTTGTTCAGTAATCATTCTTTTGAAATTAAATCCATCAAGTTAAAGACTTTTTTGACAAAGGCAATGAAAGTGTAAATTTTCATGACTGCATGGTATGGGTATTTGAATATGATGGCGAAAAAAAAAACTTTTCGAACCAAGTCCCGTTGAATTACGCCCCGCCACCACTACCCCGACCCCTAACGCCCAAACCGCTTCATACTCCACTTTCAGGCTAAAGCATTCACTTCACCAGAAACTTATAATCATCTGTGAATACTCCAAATCACCAACAACATGGAAAGGATGCAAAACGCAGATTACCACACTGGACTATGCAGTCCATTTCGAATGAGTTCATCGAGGTAACGGCGTGGGGAGGGGTGAACACAAATCCATGATAAACAACACCCACCACCACCACCACCACTACCTACACCGCCGCTGATAATGATTAAAAATAGTTACTACTGTCACTTCATCACTTACCGATCCACTAATCACCATACAACCCAACTGTTCCATTGATTTAATCTCTAATTCTGGTAGTAATTTTACAGGATTTAAATTCTGTTGTAGAAACTGTAATATCAATTCTTGTGCTTGAGGCAATTGTGCTAATGCAACACCCATATGACCAAGACAATAAACAGCATTCAAATACATTAAATTGATATCTCTAGAGAAAGAAGCGGAAGAAGAAGCAAAAATAAACAATGCAGTTGTGATAGACAATAGTTAAGTTAAGATGGGATTCTTTGCGAGTGGAATGAATATGTATATTATATACCAGCATAACTGGTGCATATCACCAAAACAACAATGCTGATTGTAATGGACAAAGTGTTTAGAAAATCTTCCCTGGATCATATATTTATGATATTTATAATTATTTAGACGTTTCAACTAACTCTGTAATTAATGTACGTATTTCCCCTAAAACTGCCTATCATTAATTTGACATTTGCATATCACATGTTGATGTTGACCTTTACTATTTGCCTTTGCCTTTGTTTAATCTTTAATTGTAATACTTCTGTTTATGATTGTACGTACACTGACAATGCCTTGTTTCACAATATGAGTTTGTTTGAGTGAATAAAGGTGATTCTGACGCAGGACTGTCTGCGAGAAGCACTGGTTTATGATTCCTGTAGACAGAGCTTTTAATTCCAGCTCATTGGGAATATTGTTCTCGATTCTAAGGTACTTTATGCAGTTGAACTTTGGTCTTACAGTACTTATTCTGTATTTAGAAACCTACATTGCCTGTATAGCTGCCTCAAGACACTGTTGACGTAAATTTGAGTTTGTTGTTTAATAGAACCGCTAAAATATTAAAGAATAATGGCCTTTTCCTCGCCTTTGGAACGTTTCGTGATAGCACGTATCTCAACGAAGTCTTGTCGACCATACAGTAAAACGCAGAGATCAGTTTCTTGCGTCCAGACAATAACCGAATAATATTGGTCGTTATGCCAACAAGATCATACGTGTATACACAACTTTCAAACCAAGCTGAGGCTGTAGTTCATTGGTTTATGCACTCAACTTACAGCAAATTGGGTTTGGCAAAAAATGTTAACTATAGGCAGGAATTCATGAATTTATTCACCGAATTTCGGTAGAACCCATCGGCTAACACATCAGCCAGCATATAATAAGTGTACGTATGGCCTGGCACACAACATCTCTAGGTTCGCGTGTCAAACCAACCAACACACCCTTGTGTTAAACTGTACATAGACACGTCCACGGAAATTTGTCATCATGAGTAGTTAGTTGGCAAGTTTTCCCATTTATTATCACATAGTACAAAATACTAAGTGCGCATACATGCGTAAATATTACACTGTGAAAAGAATACAAACAAAGTTCACCCAATCCTGAAAAAAACACTCAAATGAGAAAATGAAATAGTATTACGTCAAAACAAAAAGAACTCATGGAAGGTAAATTAAGACGAGAGATACTTGAAAGGACTTCTCCTCTGGCAGACAGTAAACCAACCAAGAACCTATTACGTCAACAAATATATATGCTGAAGGAAATGGGGGAGATGAATTGGACAGATGCTGAGGAGACCATTAAGTGGCATTACGGGCCAAGCCGTCGAAAGGAAATCTAATGGTAAACGAGTGACGACTCGGGGAGTGGGTGACAAGGAAGGGGTTATGCGAGGTGGAGATTAAAGCCTATAGGCAATTTATGGAGCGTATCCTGTCAAAAAGGGTAAAAAAACACTAACCAGCGTGGTTGCAGAAAGGAAGTAGTGGTCGTATAAAGGAGTGCAATCATCGAACATCCCGTCACCACTGACTGGTCATTCCATCTCAACAAACGCCTCCTCCTTCAAAGTATTCTACAAAGTGAAGAACATCCTCCCGAAGACAACACATTTCCCTCTTCTTTACATTGCAGAAGCCCAAACCAATTCAATAAGAAGAACCAGAACTATGCATACAAAAGAAAATTATTCAACCAATCATGATAACAACTCTGTTGATCTGACTTGATTTTTTCTTGTTTGCTTGTTTTTTTTCTAACTACTCAAAAATCTTGTATTCCTTTAAAACTATTGCGTAATTCCGTATTTTATTTTGTTCCCATGTGCACCCTGAGCTCAACTCTTTCATTAAACTGTTCATGTTATTATGAAACTATTATTTAACAATCGTTTGTGACTACCCTCTTGTATCAACATCCAATTCCTCTGAATGCGCTTTTGTGTCACTTAACTCCACCAAAAACCTACTAATTCCCCCACACACACACTTAGTTACAATAATGTACGCACACAAAAAATAACCGCATACATTTGCGACTATACAGCTCTGAAGATGGATACGCCAAAAAGAGACTCTTCGTTGAACTACTGATCTTCGAATGAGGATTTTTCATGAATTATGGAGCCAGCTGAAACAACAGCGGGGAACTGGACTAAGTGGAAATATGCTGTTGAGGTCGTGTGTTCCACTCGGAACTTAAGCGAATAATAATAATAAGGTGATCGGCAGCAACCCTACACACCTACTTCTTGTGCTTGCAATATAATAATGTTCATGGTTAATGTGTAAATTGAATTTTATTCCGTCTAATTATAGACTTCATATGACTGACTGATATAATCAAAAACAAAGGGGAGAAAATGGGGTCAATTTTGTGTGCGTGTGTGTGTGTGTGCGTCAATCAGTAACTACGGATAAAATTAGGAAAATGAAAGATTTGTTCATACAACTACAAAGATACAAAGGAAAAAGAATGTCACATGAATTTTATTGAAAGAGAAATCAGAAATGAAGTGTAGAAAGGAATCTCTATATATACAGGATCGAAAGGGTCGTATCTAAAATACGTATATACTTTTCATTGGACGCGTAGTCAGTAAGTAGTTTAATGCATCTAGTTCTTTCTTTGGCGTAGACTGAATTCATTATCGAACAAGTTTGCGATATGGCCACCATCAGGCTAGGTTGCTCACCATCACGGTGCACTGTGAATTGTTGGTTTCAGATGGTTGGAGGCAATCGGCAGGAAACCTTGGACCTAGGTTCCGTGCTGGTTAGCACTCGTCAGAATACTGTCTGCACCAAAGATAGGAGCCAAATACATTACACTAGTGTTCAATCAAAAATATCCAATACAGTCCTACAGGAGGTCAATCGCGACCCGAATAGCTCACAAGGTAACGTCTTCGACTGTAGCACTGGGTGGTTACACGGGTTCCAATCTCAGATGGAAAATGAGTTCCTTCAGTGTGGTTGCAGATACGCCATGCTGACGAGTGCCAACAAGCATGACACCTGGGTCAAGACTTCTTGCCGATCGCCTCCAACCACGTAATATGACTCTACGTTATTTAAAAATAAACACTAATGTTTTCAACACTAACTGTAGAACCTGATAAAGACGAAGTTAACGAAAAACCATCATATTTATTTGTTCACTAACTAACGAATATAAAATATAACTGCTGACAATAAACAAAAGCTGTTTTACAAAGAGTAACAAAACGTAGGCTTATTGATTTTTGTCCACCACATCATTTCTTCTCAACGAAATCATTTTCAAGCTAACTGTATAGTCGTATTTATATTACAGAGAGAAAAGGCATTAAGTGGTACTCGGTGCTCAGTCAATATTGCACATATGATAAAAGTAATGCTAATGAAAATGAAATACTATATACACTTTACGCATCGTTATCGAACAGAGCATAGAATGGCAGTCAAATATCTACATCAACTTCATCGACTTCGAAAAGGCCTTCGACAGGCAGCGTTGAACAAGAGGTAATTTGGAAACTACTTCAACACTACGAAGTGCAGTGCCCAAGTCTTTGTCAACCTCATTCAACAGCTTTATATGACGATGCCACGTGTCAAGTGATCCACAATGAAAAACTCAGAGAGGCATTCGAAGCGGAGACAGGAGTATGACAAGACTGCCTGCCCAATATCACCGATGATATTCTTAATTGTGGTGGACTGGATCATGCGTCAGACTTTGAATGGGGGGGGGTGAGAAGACAGAAATACGCCGGACCACCGATAAGGAGACTCTAGAAAATCTGGATTTCGCGTGTGGATGATGTATGTCTAATGTCACACAAACTCGAAAACTTGCAAGCAAAAACCAACAAACTGACTGAAGAGGCAGCGAAAACAGGCCAATGGGTAAACATAGAGGAGATGGAGGTGATGAAGATAACAAAACAACCACAACAACAACCAGCACCAATCACCATCAACGGGAGAGATTTAAAAGATATTGCCTCCTTCACTTATCCGGGAAGCATCGTTTCAAATACAGGAGGAAAGGACGAAGATGTCAAAGTCAGAATCGGAAAGGCAAGATACGCCTTCATCAACCTGAAACCAATTTGAAAATCTTCTGTACTGACTCAGCATAAGGAACAAGATTCGCACTTTCAACACCAATGTTAAGTCGGTCGGAAACTTGCACTGAGTGTCACGAAAAAATTTCCAACAGGTTGAAAACTTTCATCAATAGCTTCCTTCCTTGGCTCAATACTGAAGGTAAAATGGTCAGTTGGCCAGAAAGAATTAGCCAGAAGCAACTCTGCCAACAAACCAACCAGGAGCCGATTGCTCAACAAATATGTAGGAGAAAATGGAAATGGATCGGGCATACACTGAACAGGCCGTCGAATGACATCGCACACCAGGCCATCGCTCTAGTGGAATCCAAATGGGAAGCGACGAGTGGATTGTCGGTGTGAGGGTGACATGAAGGAGATCGTGTGGCGACGAGGAAGTTGAGAGAGATTGTGGGCAATTGTGGAGGTAGGCAGCTGAAGTGGACAGCACCAAATAGAACAAAGTGGAGATGTTTTGTTGAAGCCCTATGTTCTACTCGGAACGCAGGGGAATAATAATATTATAATAATAATACAAGGGGGGGGGGGTTCAGTTGAGGTGGATGAATTACAAAACATTTATAGATTACTAAATAAGTGAACTGGTATAAAGATTTAAAATGGTAGATTAAGTGTTGTCTAAATATTTTAACAGTACGATGATGATAACAATAAAGACAAAGAACATGAAGTGAAGTGGAATGAATTCAGATGGTAGAATAAAAATAAAATAAAAGAATATTGCTAAGTCCAAGGTATAGAGAGGGACTAAACAAAAAGTTTTTGAACACATAATTTAG